TGAGTGAAGGTTTTACAAATGCAGAAGTAGTCTCAATTGTTAATAATTCAACATTACAAGCAATCCGTAAAAATGAATTTGTGCACACAAATGAATCCTTAAATGAAGGGTTAAACAGTATTTTCCAACTTCGTTGGAACCAAACAGTGTCAAAAGCTGCGGACGAAGGTTTCTTTAATGAACTTCATTTAAGTGAAGTAATCAACTCAAATAAATTAACAGTTGATTATACAATGAATGAAAAAGAACGACCTTTTAAAACAAAATGCATGCATTTATTAACAACGGTAAAAAATTGGTCACCAAAGAACAATCCAACGGAAATCAGTAGTCTTAGAATGCAAAACATTGGGATGAGTATTCAAACACAGCCAGTTGACTATTCACAAGAATTAATTGTGGAATTACTCGATTTTATGGCTGAAGGTGCATTTATTCGCCAATTACGTCGTTGTAGTCCAGCAAATACGTTTGTCACACAAACTTCATATTCTGGGCAACTCGGAGAGCGACTTAATAAAACATTTTTAAAAGGGTGCTTAAACTACCGAATGGAAAATACACTTGCACTCATTGAAAACCCTACTCAAGGGCTTAAAACATTATCCGGAACAATTAGTTGGGAAGCTTTAAACAAAACTGCTTTAAAGGATTTACAACAACGTACTGCACTCTTTACCAGTTGGTATAAGAGTCGAATGTTCTGCCAACTTAAACCAGACCAACGTAGTTTAACGAATCGTTACGGGTATAATCCAAATTATCAGCAAACTGGGTCAAGTTCCATGAACCGATTTAAAGATCGTATTAAAGCCCGATTACGCGAATCTACTCACCAAGCACACCCGCTTTATGCAATGTCTGGTTCAATCCGTGGAACCTTTGGAAGCCGTGGGTATGAAACACGACTTCAACGTCCGCTGACTGGTCCTGTAACACAAATGAGTCAGGAATTTTTAAATATTCAGTTTAAGTAAATTTCTAAGGGTATCCCATTTTATTGGTACCCTTAGAAATTTTTATATTTAAACATCATATTGTTTTGCGATATACTGGTAGAAAGCTATAATATAAACGAGCATCGTGGATAATAATGGAACCGTTATTAGACGAGAGCTTTGAAAGAAATGTTGAGGATTTCATATGTCAGGATCTACAGGAGAACGTCCTTTTAGTGACATCGTTACTAGTATTCGTTACTGGGTAATTCACAGTGTTACAATTCCGTCACTCTTTATTGCAGGATGGCTTTTTGTAAGTACTGGTTTAGCTTACGATGTATTTGGAACACCGCGTCCAAACGAATACTTTACGGAAGAGCGTCAAGAGCTTCCTTTAATTTCAGATCGTTATGGTGCACTTGCCCAACTTGATGATCTTGTACCAAACTAAAAAATTTATTTTAATGATCGACTCAGTCTCTGAGTCAATTAAATAAATTGACAGAAACGCATCAAACCCGCATTGATGCAGCTAATTTAGCCCCATTTTTTATGTCAGTTAAAACATATCCAATTTTTACATTCCGTTGGCTTGCAGTTCACGCGTTAGCTGTTCCAACTGTGTTTTTCCTTGGGTCAATCACAGCAATGCAATTCATTCAGCGTTAATTCAGGAGAAAATTGTATGACAAACCCGAACCCAAACAAGCAAACTGTTGAGTTAAACCGTACTAGTCTTTACTGGGGTTTACTTCTCATTTTTGTACTCGCAGTTCTTTTTTCAAGCTACATCTTTAACTAATTCTGCAATTGTAGGAAACACATTTTATGTCTAACACAACAACAGGACGAATCCCATTATGGTTCGTAGGGATGGTAGGAGGACTTGCAGCGCTTGGACTCTTAGCTATCTTCTTTTATGGTTCTTACGTAGGACTTGGATCGTCACTTTAATAAGTGAAATTCATCTAATATTCTGGGCGAAGTGCAAAATCGCCCAGATAAAAATTTTGTTTTGAAAATTTTTGCCTAATTGTGAATTAATACAGATAATTTGTATTAACAATACACTAATGCCATTTGGTCATTAGCTAATCGGACCTTTTAATATGAGTAAAGTATATAACTGGTTTAACGAACGTCTTGAGATTCAATCAATTGCAGACGACGTTACAAGTAAATACGTACCGCCACACGTAAACATTTTCTACTGTTTAGGTGGAATTACCCTTACATGTTTCCTCGTTCAAGTTGCAACAGGATTCGCTATGACATTCTACTACCGCCCAACTGTAACTGAAGCATTTGCATCAGTACAATACATTATGACTGAAGTAAACTTCGGATGGCTTATCCGTTCAGTTCACCGTTGGTCAGCTAGTATGATGGTATTAATGATGATTCTTCACGTATTCCGCGTATACCTTACTGGTGGATTCAAAAAACCACGTGAGCTTACATGGGTAACTGGAGTTATTCTTTCAGTAATTACTGTATCATTTGGTGTAACTGGATACTCACTCCCTTGGGACCAAGTAACAAACGGAGGAGGAGCGGGGAGACGGCGGAGGAGGTATCAAGTTTACGTTTGCCACAGATTAGCGCGTTCATTCGTTCGTTTATTTTTGTGATGATGACGATCATAACATAAGTCGATTTCACTATCATTTCACCGCGCTCGAGAGCGCGGATAGCACTTGTTGTACGCTCGCGCTGGGAACGGACGCGTAGTCGCCGTGGGCAAGCTTGGAGCCGACGACGGGTTCGACCGCAGACGCAACGCCTTCGATGTGTACAGTGAGCCCCGTGGGACAGGCGGGCAGTAGCGACTCGTGATCGTCGGTGATGTGCATCTCGTCGTCGTCTGCCGATTGCGAATCGGAGATTGCATCGCCGCCGCGACCGATGATGAGCGATGCCGAGCCGTCTAGTCTGAATCCGAGCGAATAAATTCGCATCGCGCCCTCGTCCGTGAATTTGACGAGAGATAGCGCGTTCGGTTCGGCGAACGTGAGGTTAAAGTCACCAGAGAGGTTCTCCGCGAGTGCGGAAAACGCGACGACCGCGTGAAGAGCGCAAGCGAAAATCTCGCATCGCCCGTCTCGCGCGGCGACGCTCAGAGCGCGTCGCACCGAGTCCGTCAGCTGATCGCCGTCGGCGTACAGACCAGGACCCAGTTCTCCTCCATGACGCCACTGGATCGTAAACATTAGCGATTCTTTGAACGAAAGCGCCACCGTGTACGCGTCTTGACGCTTTAACGTGCAGCCAAACTTGGAGAAATCAATTGCCGAATCGTTCTCCTCCAACGCCGACAAGAATCCTTGCGCGGCGGCGATTCGACGCACGTCCGCTAAGACAGCGTTCACTGCGAATTCTGAATGTTCGTACGTGCACGTCTCGTTCCCGATGCGGGCTGACAAGCCGTCGGTGCCTCGCAAGGACACGTGCACTTTGAGCGACGATTTCGTTCGCACGGCGCGCTTGAATTTGCTCCGTGCCCATCGCGCGGTGTTTGCGACGACAAAGCTTAAGACGTGTTCCGCCTTCTTTAAATCTACACCCTTGGACGTCGGTCGAACGTCCATGAATGGAAGTCGAAGATTTTTGAGCGCTCGCATCAGTGCCAATCGTTGGGCGTCGACCACCTTCTCTCGACACGCCTCTTCAATGAGTTTGACGACGATTTCGGGTTTTGCACCCTTACGAGCGCCGAGATCGAGTTTTTCGATGGAATCGACCACATATCTTGTTGCCTGATTGATTCTGTTCGCTCGCACTAGCGCGAACGTCGGCGTGGCCCCCATCCAGGTCGCGATGAACACGCCGCCGTCGCTTGGCATGACGGGCACGAGAGCCGTCGGCACCGTGCCCGTGGGACACACGTCAGACTTGGCCCAGGGATCGCCACCCATGGTACTCGGCGCGGGATGAGCCGACGCACCAGATGCACGCAGCAAGCCCTTAAGTTCTTGCTGCTCCACGGCCACCGAAACTTCCTCCACTATGCTACTGATGGCGCTATGACCTTCAAGAGCTAGCCTCTTTGAAAGTTCAGCCTCGGTGGCGGAGGGTACGAGATCGTTCGCGCCGTGGAGCATGAGCTTCCCATCCGAGATGCGACAGGTGATGAAAATGCTCGTAAACCTGGAAATCTCGAGACGGATGGAGGGACGCACGTCGTCGCCCCATTTATCTTCGTCGTCTCGGCACGCGCATTCATCCGTCGTCGACGACTCCTCCATTATTGTTTTGAAAGACTTCTCCGATGCCAATTCTTCAGCAATCGCGTTCAACTTCTTCGACGACGCGATACGTATGGCGTTGACGACAAGCGCCTCCAGATCGATGCACTCGTGATTAATGAACACGTCGTCAGCGTCTTCGTCGCCGGGAGCCTTTGCCGTTGCGAGCAACTCTGCTTTTTCAGGATTGAACGACACGTCCAGTGCTCCGGGCGCACCGCCGTCCGATTTACGCCAAAACGTAACTTTTAAGCCCTTGAGCACCCCCGCCGCTTCGCCCTTGACAATCTCAACCTTGATGGCGTTACGCGACCAGCGCGACTCGTCGTCGCCGCCGCCGCGCTCTGCAATTTCCTTGAGTCTACCAGCTTGCACCACGATGGCGTTGGCGGACTTCATCAACACCGCGTCACTGGCGATGCGATGCAATCCGGTGAGGTGCATCGGCTTGAGCGGCGGCGCACCTTCCTCAGGCTGTTTACCGAACGGAAGCATGCCAACCATGCTCGCGCACGCGATATCGGCTAATTTTCTTTCCTCCGCCTTGTTCAGCGTAAACTTCCCATCTGTCTCGCCCGCCAATATTTCTATAGATTCTACCCGCCATCCACCGTATCTCGGCTGCTCTATCGCGTCCGGAGCGACAGGTCCTCCCAGCGTGAGCGTCGCGCGGTACTCGCCCGCGACGCCCACCGCCGCCTTCCCGCTCGCGATCGAAAACACCTTAAACTTCTCACTCGGCCATTCCATGTGATCATCCCTCACCCCACATCCGTGCGCCTTGGAGCGTATCAAACGTTCAGCGATCTCCTCCTCGAACCTGGTCTCGACGTCCTCGCGCGCCGCGCGCTCGTCCTCCGTCTCCTCTCGCGCGTCCCCGTCCTCCCCCCCCCCCGGTCCCGATCCGTCCTCACCGATCATGAGCGGTAAAAACCCATAATTCCCATGACACATCACCTCCAGCGCGCCCGGGAGATCCCACATCGGCGCGCGCGCCCACTCCAACTGCTGATGCAAGTGAAACAATCCGTCGCTCGCTCTCGCGAACGTCTCCTCGTGCGCCGTCAACATCGCCCGCGCGTTCGCGGCGACGGACGCAATCTTCGCACTCTTCACCGCCCACCGTTCGAGCGTCTGCACGCGCGCGAGGCGCTGTCGCGCCCGGTGCGCCCATCGCGCGAGCTCGCTCGCCCGCTCCGCCTCCCCCCGTCCCGGCGCCGCGTCGCACAGCGCCGTGAGCTCGTCCCGCGCCCGCGCGCACGCGCGTTCGACGAGATCACCGATCGTGGTCGTCGCCGCGCGGCGCGGGAGCGTCTCCATCGACGCCCGTCGACGGGCGCGGCGCGATGGCGATCGCGCGCCGTGCGTCGATGGATCGAGTGGGTCATCGTCGAGTCACGACTCGTCACGCCCCGTCGTCCACCGCGACCGATGGACATCGCGTGTGAACATTGGCACCAATCAATGTCCACGGTCGTCGCGCCGCGACGACGTCGTCGCGATCGCGGCGCGCGGCGCGTCGGGGTGTTTTCACGCGACGCCGCCGCCGACGCCGACGACGACGACGACGACGACGACCACGACGACCACGACCACGACCACCACCACCACCACCACCACCACCACCCGTGGGCACGTTTCAAAGCCTCGAACGCGTCGCCGTCGAGGGATGTTTCACCCTCTTCGGGTGATGAAAGAGCTCACGAGGCCGCGGACGGTATCCAAAAATGACCAGACGCCGACCGCGTCGAGCCCGTCGCCCCCCCCGCGGAGAGTATCCAAAAATGACCAGACGCCGACCGACCGGACCGACGGCACCCGCGACCGGCACCCGCGCGTCGACGCCTCGGCCCGTCGTATAATCGAGCGCAAGTCGCCCATCGACGCGCGCGTGACGTGGATGATACGAAGACGCGCGCGGCACATCGCGTCGACGACGCGTCGAGCGACGCCGCGTCGAGCGACGGGACCTCGAGCGCGGGCGCGCGCGACGGGGGCGAGACGTCGACGGGGGTCGAGGCGTCGCGACGACGTCGACGCGGGCGCGCGGGCGCGCGGGCGCGATCGGGGGTGACGCCACCGTGGGTTTGAACGCCACCGAGGGGTGGACGACGACGGCGGCGGCGGTGGTGGCGCGATCGAGCGCGCGCGCGTCGGTGGAGGCGGTGGAGATTGAACTCGAACGCGCGACGGTGGCGCTGGAGCGGTTGGAGGCGTCGCAGGTGGCGCTCGAGGAGGCGTCGCGGGGGGGGGGGGGCGGATAAAGCGTACGAAGACGCGCGGGCGGAGAACGCGGAGGTGATTTCGACGCTGCAGGCGCGCGTGTACGAGCTCACGCGCGCGCTTTGGGAGCAGAAAGGTGGGTGCGACGGGTGTACGGGAGAAGAGGCGGTGAAGGAGGGGACGTGGGTGTGAGTCGCGCGCGATGTCTTTTTTCAGTCGGAGCGCGCCGACGCGCGGGGGCGATAATTTGGCGAGTTATTTGCCCGACGATCTGTTCGAGGAGTCGCCGAGCATCGAGCGGGTGATGACGAATGCGCCGAATACGGAGATCACGTTCGCGGATCTGGAGGTCGTGCGAGAGTGCGCCGGGTCGCCAGGGCCGCTCAAGCGTTTCGTTCCCGAGGCTTCCTCTCAGGCTGAGATATTGATACAGACGCCGATGGCACAGATACATCCCGGGGGATTCGCGGGTGCGCTCAAGCGCGGGCTCGGGGATTCGCCGTCGTACACGCTATCGCCGCAGTCGTCGCTTAAACCTCCGAGTTTCGGGAGCGATAAGCTCGGGACGAGCTTCGGCGCGGACAAGGTGTCCCCTCCCATGACCGAAGCATCGCCGCCCGTGGCCGTGTACTCCTACGCCACGAGCGCCGGTACGAGCGCTCATCGTTTATCGAGCGGTTTTGGGTCTGGGAAACCGCCTCGCGCGGGATTCAAACCTGGTTCACTCCAGCATTCAAAATCGAGCTTCGGGGACAGGGCGACTCGTACTTCGATGAACGGTACCCAACCCACCTCGACCGTCAAGTTCACCGGCGCCGCGTTCCGATCGGCTCGGGACGAGTACCTTGAAAAGGTGCTCACATTTTTAACGAACGAGCACGGGGAAGAGTGGGTGCCCATTAAGAGTAAGTCTGGCGTCAGCGGGCGTTGCCGCAAACCGGTGACGATGCCAGAGACGTATCTCGAATTTTTCGACACACACCGCGACAAATTCGAAATCTGCAGTGAGAAAAAGAAAGTTCGATTGCGCGAGCGCGTGCTCAGCGACAGTGGTGAGAGCGATGGCACGGCAGTGGACAGCCTGAGTGATGGTCTCAAGCGCCTCTAATCGCCGAGCGGCGGTGTGTACAACGATTCAAGCAGCTTTGAACGTCACGAAACGTTCTTCGTCGCGTCATAACAACAGTCTATAATGAATATGGATTGATCGCGTGCTAATACGATCGCTATTGCGCCTTGAGCTCGTCGCAAAACTGCCTGAGCTTCGCCAGGAGGATCCCTCGCTCCTTGAGGCTCGTCTCCACTCTCGACTTAAACAGCTCCTTTGCCTCCGCACTTCCGTCCTTCGTCGTCACCTCGAACGTGTACTCATCCTCATCATTCGTCGAGCAGAATTCTTTCACCTTAATCTCTCCCTTGACCGCATCGTCGTCGTCTAAATCGTCCGCGCGCGTCTCGCGCCGCGCCTCCCACCGCAGTGTGAAACTCAGATCGAAGCACCCGAACTTCTTCCCGCCCTTCCGCGTGCTCACCGAGGCGTCGCCCTCAAATTTAGTCATCTCCACGATCGTCGCTCGTCCCTCCGCGACCGGGACGGCGAGATCACTTCCGATGAGCAAGGTTTCGAGTTTTTCTTTCGCCCACTTCATCATGTTTCTCTCCTATTCATTTTGAGAGCTCTCGGTCAGTACGTTGGAGTTCGCATTCGCTCGAGCTAGACGCACCTCCCAGTGCCAGCCGTTGATGTTCGTGCCGTCCTGGCGCTCGGTGACGATCCATCGAGGGTCTCCCTCGCCGAACTTGGCCATTGTGGAAGACGAGGGAAAGAGTGAGGAAGAAGCGCGACCGCAGCCGGCACCGGAGCTGTGCTACGTGGGGATCGCATGCGTGCGAGCTACACAAGTATATTACAAATCACGAGATCTCTACCCTCGCATTTCGTTCAATGAATGTTTCGATTGGAAATCGTTGCCGGTTAGAAGTTGTCGCCGCCACCCAAGCCGAGAAGCTGCGAGTACGACGGCGCCTTCGATTGGAGGAGATTTCCGATACTTCCCGACCTTCGGTGCGCGCCCAAGCGACGGTGACCACCTTCGAGCGCTCGAGCGTCGGCGCGGCGATACGCCTCGACCATGATTCGCTCGCACTGCTCGTCCGAGATGATGTCCTCTCTGCGCGCCCAATCGAGCGTGTTCTGCATCTCAATAATTGTCATCCCGCGCACGTCCGCCGTCCTGCGAAGCATCGTCGCTTTATTTTTCAGCTTGATATCCATCGTGCACGCCGGTTGCTCCCACGGCTCGCCATCGACGTGCATTGGTACTTTCTTATCGATGACGACACGCACTTCTCTCGCCTGACAAATGCGCACCGGCTTGTCGACGCCCATGTTCAGTTGACCTAAGTGTAGCGCACCGTGCACAACGACAATGTCCACGAGGCCATCTTGCATTGACGACATGCCATAAGATCCCTCGCGCTCCCACATCCGCACCCCACCCGCGAATGAATTGATGTTGAGTAAAATAACGCCCTCAGCCTCGGGTGGAATGGTTTGGCGAACGCCGTCAGCGTAAATTCTGATGCTCTTGTGAAGCCCAGCGCACGAGTGCTCCAGAAAATCTTTAGCACCGAATGCCCCGTACAATAATTTGTTTGTCATAGCGCTGAAAAACAATTGAGGACGCGCGTTACGCGTTCTGTGAAACAACAACGCCGCCTGCGCGTCCACGCCAATGCCCAGATAGTTCTGAAACACTATCTCCTTCTTCTTAGGCGGCGCCCCCTCCTTCAGCGCGGGTTGTCCCGCCGCCGACGCCAACTTATTCATCGACGTGACTGGATCCGTGAGCGCTATCTCTACTTGCCAACGATCGAGAGGTACGGGATGCGCCTCGAGTATTTGCACCAGGAGCTCGGAGATGAGTTCGTTTGAGTATCCGCCGCCCCATCCGAGGACGCGCGCGAGATCGTTCCCGGTCCCCAACGGAAGAATCCCAACCGGCGGCTTCTTAGCGACGTCCAACTCATCCAGGGTTTGCAAAATCCACGCCACGGTCCCGTCACCACCCGCAACAAGAATGCGAACGTTTGGTACGTTCGCGAACAACTTCAGCGCCGCCCTTGGCCCGGTGTTGTGCAAATCCACAACCTGTAACGGATTCAGATTCGACCGCAACCCCTCCAACAAATACGGTCCCATCTGCCCCCCGCTCTTCGAGTTCACGAACACCAACAACGGCGCGGCATCCTCCGCCAACACCTCAACGTCCACCGACAGAATGGGCGAGTACGCGTCCGCGCCGCTCGACATCCGTCCCAACGGCCCGCCCTTCTTCTTGATATACTTATTAATCTTCCGCGTCACGCGATTCAACGGCGACCGCATCGGGGCCTCCGTCACGCACTCCGGAGGCAGGATCAACCGCGCGTGTCGAGATTGCTTCAAGTAATACCACCACCCCTGCTTCTCCCGTCGCATTCGCACGAGCTTCACCAACGCCCACTGAATCGCGATCGCGCACGCCACCGTCACCGCCATCGTCCGCACCACGCCCTCAAACGTCACCGCCGACGTCTTCAGCGGCGTCGTGATCGTCTCCACGATCGCCGTGAGGTTCAGCATCGTCCCCGAGAGATTGATCGACGCACCGCTCGCGCTCACCGTCCCGTCGCTTCCATCACCCTCCGCCCCCGTCGCGACCCGCGCGTCGTCCGCGAACCCATTCGCGAGATCAACGATGAAGCGTTTCACGTAAGAATCGACGCGCGCGATCGCGTCCGCGACGGATTCGCGCGGCATCGACGTCGAGGGATTCGAAAATTCAATCCTCGCGCGCGTCGCCGTGTGTCGCCCGTCGCGTCGGTGTCTTCGCCCGCACAGCGCGTCGTTCGGTCGACGCGACGCGCGCGCGGTCGAGCGCGCGCGCGGGACGCTCGGCATCGCCGTCGCGCGCGCGTTCGACCGCACAGACGCGCGTGACGGACGGACGCGCGCGAGATGCGAGCGACGCCGGCGGCGGCGAGCGCGCTCGCGCGATGCGTCTTCCGAAGCGAGCGACGATGCGGACGGGCGAGCGAGTGGACGGCGCGGGGGAGTGGGTCGTGGCGAACGCGCGTGATGTCGTCGGCGAGCGATGGGACTTCGCGCGCGCCGGGGGAGGTGACGTTCGAGGACCTGGGCGTCGGCGCGAAGCTGCGGCGCGCGTTATCGCGGGCGGGCGTGGAGACGCCGTCTGTGGCGCAGCGAAGCGCGATGCCGGCCATCTCGCGAGGGGAGAACGTGGCGATACAGTCGCACACGGGGAGTGGGAAGACGCTGGCGTATCTCTTGCCCGTGATTTGTGATATGTTCGACGAGGGGACGGGGACCGTGCGGGCAGACGTCGGAAGCGGCGTGCGGTGCGTGATCGTCGCGCCGTCGCAGGAGCTGGCGATGCAGATCGTGCGTCAGGTGGAGAAGATTTTAGGGGATTTGGGACGACAGATCACGCAGCAGGCGATCGGTGGGGCGAACGCGAAGAGGCAGGAGGAGGCCATTCGGAAGAAGCGGCCGCTGATAGTCGTCGGGACGCCAGGGAGATTAGCCGAGCTCTCACGGTCGGGGATCTTGCAGACGCACGGCGTGCGGTTGCTCGTCGTCGATGAAGCTGACGATCTATTGGCGAGTAACTTCAGGCGGGACATGGCGAGAATCAGCGAGCACACGGGAAAGGGCGTTCCGGGTGGTAGACAGACGGTAATCGTGAGCGCGACGTTGAAGCAGGAGACGCTCGACGCCTACTCCTATCTCGCTCCGAACTTGAGACACATCGTGGCGACGTATGATACACCCGTATCGAGACCGTTGAGCGCGGAAGGTGAGGAAGAGACGAAAGAGGACGCGAACATCGTCGCGGCGAGAGACGAGAAGAGCGCATCGGCGGCTGCGCAGCAAGAGCTCAAACAAGGTGTCGTCAGCCTTCCGCCGCACATCACGCACTGCTCCGTCATCGCCGATCGCCAGCGTAAGGTCGACGAGCTGCGTCGTGCCATTTACGCGACGGACGTGCAGCGAGCGCTGATTTTTTGCAACTTCGGTCGTCGCTTGCAAGACGTGCAAGCCAAGCTCGGAGCGCGCGGTATGCGCGTGGGAATCCTGCACGGAGGCATGGATAAGATGGAGCGCCAGAAAGAACTCGCCGCATTCCGTCGAGGTGATTTCAGAGCGTTGGTCGTCTCTGATCTCGCGGCACGTGGATTGGACGTTGACGACTGCGACGCCGTGTTCAATCTCGAGCTTCCGACGGACGAGACGCACTACGTGCACCGCGCCGGTCGGACAGGTCGCATGGGAGCTCCGGGCGTGGTCGTCACCATCGCCGAGCCTTCAGAAGCGTTCGTTCTTCGCCGGTTCGAGCAGAATCTTGGGGTGAGGATTAACGACGTAGCGACGCGCGGCGGCGAGGTCGTTCGCGCGCCGTCGGATGGTGAAAGACGCGGCGGCGGAAGAAGCGGTGGACGCGGCGCGCGAGGCGGCGGTGCGCGCGCCCCTCGAAGACGTGAGGGTGACGTTTAACGCGATTTGAGATCCGAATGTTTTTGCTTGTGTATTAGATTTCAACGAAAAATACTCGCGACGCGCGCGTTAGTAATACACGTTGAAGCTGCCGACAGTCGCGTTGAGACGCTCCTTCATCTTACCCCATCGCTTTTCGCTCGAACCCGTGGTGAGGGTGTAAAACTTCCCTTGCGTCACCGTCACCACCGTCAGCGCGTGCCTCTCGTAGCTTTTCGTTTTCGTGACGAACTCAAACTGATAGTACAGGTGTCCGTCCTTATCCGTCCGCTCGCTCGTCGCCAGCACCTTCCCAGCCGCCCCCGGCGCCGTGAGCGCCTTCCCGACGAGCGTCTTCGCCACCTCTTCGGCGGTTCCAATCTCCGCCACGCTCTTGCGTTGCGTCGGGTACACGTTCAGCGCCACGCTCTCCAGCGGTTCGATGATGTCCTTGTACACCGCCTGCTGCCCGTCCACCTGAATCTCCTGCCATCCCACCGGGTACAGGAACTCGTACCCTTCCCGCGTGTCCTTCACCGCGTTCATCCCGCTCAACGCGAGCGCCGGCGAGGCGTTCGCGCACGCGACGCCCACGCCCACGCCCAGCGCCGCGCGGCGCAGCGCGTCCCGTCGCCCGAGCGCGCGCGCCGCGCCCTCGACGTCATCACCCATCCCCGACGCGCGCACGCTC